GAGAGACTGAGTAAGACAGAAAGACAAAAAGAGAAGGGTGGGTGGATGACCACACTGCAATTTCTTTCTCTCCAGTCTCCTCCTGGGATCTTGGGACTGCACCTGATGTGAGTTTTAAGCCACCAAATCTGAGATGGGAAACACGGTCAACTATGTGAGAGTCCAATGACATAATCAATATACTATCTGCCGGTCCCTGTAATTATTTTTTTAATTGACAATAGTTGTACACATTTTTGCAGTAAAATGTGTTTGTTTTTTAGTTTGAAATAAAATTTATCATGACCAGTTCAGGATAATTTTCATATATATCACCTCAAACATTCATCATTATTTTGTGTTGGGAGCACTCTTCCATCTATCTTTAAAAAGAAAAAAATTGTAAGTTTGTTTTTATTCAGTGACCTCTTTTGGTCAATTCAAATTCTTACCATTCTAAACTCTGAATTACAACCAAACTGTTATTCACAAACTTGTTCAAATGCAAAAAACTTTGTGTTTTTCTGAATCTAAACAACTCAAAAACTAAAAGATCCCATTCCTAGACTTATGTATTTGATTTTCTTATAAAAATAGCTTCAGTTATTATGCCAATATTTATTGAAGAAGGCAGCCTCTGACAGTTATTAATTTCCTGAATAACTACAGTATCATTATGCACTACAGTGAAATAAAGCTGTAAAATTATTATTTTTCCTATATGAATAATGAACAGATTGGGCAGAAGTAAAAAACCCAGAACTATATAAACAAAGAATCCCAATGTAAATAAAAGACACAAATAAAAACAATGTCCAGAAAGCAAATGCATAAATATCAGAAAAATGTCTCAAAAACATCAACTGTGAGAAAATTTTTATAAAAGCAATTCCAGAAAAAGGACACATGTATCTTTAAATATATAGAACTCTAAATGCTTTATATATTTGGGGTACTTTACAATGTTCAGTTGATGGCTATAAATTATTTTCCTCAGGTTTTTCTGGGTGATATAGCAATCTACAGAATTTATAAACTTAGGTTCCAGCCTCCCAAATTTCTCAATTTGAAAAATCAAGAGCATTTCTTCAATCTTTAAAATGAAGACTCTTTTCAGTATAATACAAAAACAGGGTGTATCTGTTTATTTTGCTACATTGGACTATTTTAAAAATGAAATACATGGCCAGGGATGCAATTTTTAGAATAGGAGACTAAAGACCAAGTCACCTCTTTTCAGGCCAGCCATAAAACTTTAAGCAAAAAAGTCCACTTTGTACATTTTACACACGTATGTAATAAATACAGAGGGCTCATGTTAGAGCCACCCGCCCAAAACATTTCTGGGGCCAGTAGTATGTGGCTCATGGACTGAACTGGCCTGTGGCCTATTTATTTGTGGCCCTGAGCTCAGAATGGTTTCTGTAATTTTTTTAAGGAGCTGCTTTGAAAAAAATGAGGAATATGCAACAAAGAACCATGTATGGTCTGCAAAGCCTAAAATATTTATCATCTGGCCCTTTATAGGAAATCTTTACAGGCCCTTCATTTACTCCAATGTTGTAGAGAATTCAGGCAGCGCAAGTACAGTCCAAGATAACGTTCATTTATTCCCACCACAAATGTAACATCTAAAATGGTGTCTTCTGTTGTCACTGGTCAGAACTCCTTTTCATTTTTTTTGTCTTCAACATTATCAAAGTTCATCCTATAAAAATGTAATGATTATTAAAAGAGAAAGAACATGAGTTTTTAATGTTAAAAATCAGAAAAAAATAATACAAATGAACCAATTTTCCTCTTCAAAAATGTCCAATATTCTTATTTAATGGATTACTACATGAAACACACCTTGTCTAACGTTAACAATGGAAAAGAAAGAAGTATTTTCTAGTTCTTACCTGCCTACAATTCATACTACCTACTATAGTTTTAATCGTTTTCAAAGTTCTATTTGGTAAGCTCTAACTTGATTTTAGTTATGATATTCTGATTTTTCACTAATAATGTTTTTTATTTCAAATATTTACCTTGAGATAAAAGTCATGAATTTTAAAATAAAGTATCTTGCAAAAACTAATATACCCAAGATATCAGAAAAACAGGTTTGTTTAATGAAATCAAGATAATACAGATTCATAATAAACTCTTTCCTGTCTTTTAGATATGGATAAAACACTTCTGAAGCAAGCTGTAAGCCTTCCTCTGTTGGGGTCTGTAGTTTGAAACTGGATTACAGCAGAGCCTGTATTCTAACATCATTTTATAAAGCCAGACTTCTCCAGCTCTCTCCAGAGCCTGTGCTGTTCATTCGTCCTTTTTTCGTCTTATAGGGCAAGACTCCAAAGCACTTAAATTCCACTCAAAAACACCCAACATTCATGGACTCTTTTGTCTCTTTCTAAGTATGCCTTGGAAAAACACTGATTTAAAAAAGGAAAAAATTGAACTGCCTTCTGAAGAATAACAGTGTGAAAGAAGCTGTACTACTACTACTTTTTTTTAATTCATAAATTTCTCTTTATTTGGAGCAGAGAAAGTCTTTTCTATTTCTCCCTTGAAGAACGCAGACTGTCCTGCCACTGTCTTAAAAAATTTTTTTTGTTAAATTTACATTTAATCACTATATATTTTTATAATGTACAATATTGCTTTTTCCAGCACAAATATGGTGCATATCAGTCAAGACAAAGACGTTACCATATACATTATCATCAGAAATAACTTCTCATTTTTGTGTCAATTAAGATGTATTTTTTTAATCCCCTCTGTGTACTTCTTGATAGATGAGAAATTCAAGGAGAGGCCAAGATGAATATGGGCTTTAATACCTTCTGATTATTTGTACTAGGAGTAACAGAAAACTTAGTATTCAAAATGTGTTATGAGATTTCAGTTTTTTTAATCCAAAGAGTTCAATGCTTTATTTACATTCAAACAAAACTTAAAAACAATATGGCCATAGTCACTATTTGTATGTTTTATAGCTTTGAGATATAGTTTACATACTATAAAATTTCCACATTTAAAGGAGTCCAGTTGTTTTTAGTATATTCAGAGTCTTATGAACATCATCAATCTAATTTCAGAATATTTTCTACACTCCAAAAAAGAAACTCATCCCTCATTAGCAGTTAACCCAATCTCCTTTCTCTTCCCAGATCACCGCACCCTAACACAAGGCACCACTCGTCTACTTAAAGTGTCTGCGGACTAGTCTGCTCTCAACTTCACATAAACAGAATCATACAATACATGGCCTTTGTGACTGGCTCTATTCACTAAGCATATATTTTCATCTATGTTGCAGCATAGATCATTACTTCGTTTCTGCTTATGGCTAAAAAATAATCCATTCATAAGATATATCACATTTTGTTTATTCATTCATCAATTGGTAGACACTGTAGTTTTCATTTTTGCTATTGCAAATAATGCAGCTATGAATATTTGTAGTCAAGTTTTGCTCATAATCATAGTCATTATTTTTATTAAAGAGTTTTGTCCAAAAATTTAAGCATTTAAGTATTTATCAATAAAAGCTACATTCCAATTGTCATATTTCTCATAGGAGAAATTTTCAACTATCTTAGCACTTTTTAAGCTTTATCTATCTATTCATATAGGTAATGTGTACAAAGAATACATTTTGATAACTTTTGCCAAAGTCACTTCTAGGCTTAGTCCTTACCTTATTTCTCTTTCCTTGATTTTGGAGTGCTTCCAATTTGTCATGTATTAAGGTAGCAATGGCTTTTGCATCTCTGGCATGTATTTGCTCTTCCCAAATATTTCTCTAAAATTAAAAATATACTTTTTTTTAAAGGCAGGCTCTTGCTATGCTCTGATGCTCCTGCCTCAGCCTCCCGAGTTGCAGCAGCTATAAGTACAGGCTTCACACTGAGCTCTGTATTCAGACAGGGTCTTGCCATGCTGCCTGTGTTGGCTATGAGCTTGCCTCAGCATGCAGCGTATCTGGGACTATAGGTGCATGTTACTGCACTAGTTTTGTTGTTGTTAAGAATTATTTATTTATATTATTTTTAAATTTGACGAGAGAGAGAGAGAGAGAGAGAGAGAGAGAGAGGGAGGGACGGAGGGAGGGAGGGAGAGAGGGAGGGAGGGAGAGAGGGA